CGCCGACTGTGATCTGGAGCCCACACACACACACACTGGAGGAGGATGCTATAGGAGGCTCAACAGAGTTTGATCAGAGGCGCCAGGAACTGAGCGTCATCGACGGGCGCAGAGCTTTTGGAGCTGTCAGTCTCAGGCCTTTGCCCTCTGACAAGTTCACGCAAGCGTAACAGCTAAATGCAGGCACTCTGCGCCGTAAGCAGCTGAATTTGACAGCCCGCCATCCAACTCAGGAGGGAAGCATGCAGTCATCGAGTAGCTCTCTCGTCAACATCTTGAAGTAATGCAGCTTGGCCGGACTGCGTATCTCTGGTCATGTGAAACAAGCCTGTGTGGAAAAGATGTGACTTCGCCGCATTTGCACGAAGCTGCACTAATCACACTGCATGCCAGACCTGCACGCATTGTGTGGGAAGCACAGATAACCACTGAAGCCGTGAAGCTGAGTTCGTTGCGAATCGGGGCAACTTTGCTGAATCGCCGTGCAGAATCTGTTGTTGGCTTCGAGCAGGCTTTCTGCGTATGCCTGCAAAGCTAACAGCCTAACGGAGCAGGCAGGCTCACAGAAAAAGGGAAGAACAAGATAGAGTAGAGCTTTTCTCGCAGGTCCTTGGAGCACTTGTCGTACTTGTCGTAGCTTGGGCCCTCCATGCAGTGATCCTGTCATTGTAGCTTGTCGTGCAAGGCTCTGAGTGCATCCAGGAACGCATCTCCTTGATGTGCCCGAGCAGGGTCGACATGCTGTCCTGGCAAAGACTCTTTGTTTTCAGGTCGACCCACCCCCCCCCCCCTTCTTTTGTGTGTCGGAGCCTCCAGCTGCTGCTTGTGCGCTTTCAGAGTCTCACATCGCCCAGACATGATGAAGCACTCGAAGTCTGGAACTCCCTTCACCTGATTGTGGGATCACTCAGGCTGCGCTCTCAATTCGAAGAGGATCTGCGGCCAAGAGGCCGCCATGTCTTCGAAGAGTAGCGAGGCATGGCCGCGCGATGGCTCCTGAGCCGAGCTGAGCCCTCTGAGGTGCCCTCTGAGGTGCTCTTCAGGTCAGCGCTCTGCTCTGCTCCTCCCAAAGCTCACATCGCTGCTCTGATTCGCGAAATTCGCAGGCATGGCAGGCACTGCCCATGCTGGTGCACTTTGATAAACCTGGGCCACGAGAAGCACAAGTGCACGCGAACCGGAGATGCCGAAACACTTCAAGCTTGGAGGCAGCCCGATCTGGAGCTTTTGATGATCTTGACATGCTTTGGCACAATGGTCTGGTCGTGATGAGTCCCCTTCCTGCAAGCTGTACCAAGTCCTCAGAGTCCGCACCGTCCGCACCTCCGGAGACCCCAGGCCCACCCTCCCCCTTAGACAGCGCCAGGATGCCCAGTGAGAGGGGTGATGCCTGCGTGGCGAGCATAACCTGTTGCACGCAAGAGGCTTGAAGACCCGAATCAAGCTGAAGCAGAAGATTTTCACGACAGAACTCTTCACTTAGTTGGCCACCACTGAGTTCGGCCCCGTCTCGGCCGGGAGGGTCTTCGGAGTCTGGTGGTTGTATGCCACGCCGCACGCTGCGACGACCACGGAGAGCACAAGTCCGACCGCGATCGCCAGCGCTGGGCACTGCCTCGGACCGTCGGACTCCAAAAGAAAAAAACACACCAAGCACACCTGCAGTTCATAAAAAAAGAGCAAGAGCCTCCCTCTCCCTCCAGCTCAAAGTGCACCCTCGGGACATTCGCTGCTTGACAGGAGGACGCTCGATCAGCGCACCATTCTGATCAGACTTCCAATCAAAAATTGCAAAAAAGACGGCCCATCGCTCCGCTCCGCTCCGCTCCGCTCGTCCTCTCCCTGCCTCCATCACGGCCTCGTTGCTTGTGAGCTCAAGGGGCCTCTCGCGGTCTTTTTGCACAACCGCTTGTTTTTTTGTTGAAGAGAGGCACTGCTCGCCACAGTCCGATGCGCCCCCGCCCGGCCTCATCCTCGCCCCTTTCTCGAGTCTCTTGTCGTGTCGGGAGGCCCAGGATTTTTTGAACCCAAGCTGCAGTGACCTCAAGCTGCCTTAGTGCCCTAAGTGCCTTCTGGGCCCGCTGTTCATGGGAGATGCAAGTGGAAGGACCCCATGCCTTTTGCGACCCAAAGTCTCGCTCGCTAAGCACACGAGAAATCTATGCTCGCGCGGGGCACTTACGGTCTGTAGAGCCGTCCCCGGCGGATGTAAGCCCTCAGCAGGACGGGCGCAAATGTCAGGCTCGGCAGGCCGCCAGAAAAGGCTTTTGCCGCCAGGCGACAGCACACCTGGAGGCACTAGGCCCTCGATTGCCCCTCCACCTTGGCCCATTGGCGGCAAAGTTCATGAAATAACACCGCCGCTTAAGGCTCTCAAGCCAATCTCATAGGCCGCCACCCTTGGCAGCCTGGACAGGAGCCGAATGTAAAGGAGACAAATTGAAGAGTCCGAAGCACCTCCTTGACTCGCCACGTGTACTGCGTTCGTGTTCTGATCTCCTTGGCACCGACCAGAAGCGAAATCCAGGAAGTACGACGTACGACGTACGACGATATGTCAGAGGCCTCGGTGCAGCTGATGACGGTAACTGGCCAGGGCTCGGTTGAAGACAGGTTGCCCTCGATGAAGTGGAACTGCTCCTTACTCATTTTTTTTGGAATGCAGAAAACAAAACGTGCAGGGCGTGCTTCTTCAAGCGATGGGAGCGGTGCTGGCATCTCCATCCACCTAAGCCGTGGTCCAAAAGCCCTAAGTCCGGTGGGATCTGCCTCTCAAGCAAACATGGCACAGGCAGGAGAAAAGCGACGGAAACGGGCCTCAGTCCTAGCTACGTCATACCCGGGTCGAGGGACGACGAGAAACTCGAACCTCAGGACAAGAGTCTCCAGCTGCACATGACTCCTTAAGGGCCATAGGCGAGCTGCTCTTGGAGCAGCTTGTGCCCTGTGACGATTTCCCTCTGCGCCTCGGCTCCGGCAAGGGGCGACTCTGAAGAAGCGATTTGCGGCTGCGCATGGCTGTGCTGGCCTCCGGCATCCCCTCCTTCCACTCGGGATTCAGGGACGTCCACTCCTCAAACTCAAAGCAGGAACACCACCGCCGCTTGCAGCTTGCAGTGACTGAGGCTGAGGATGGCTGAGGACTGCACCGCCAGATTTGTCCCCGGCTGGAGCCAGTCGGACCCGATCACAAACCTGGTTGCGTCAAACCGCACGGTTGCTGCATGCGTGACCGAGGCAACACTCGCGGCTGGGCTGCGCAAACTCTGTGCTGGGACTTCTCTCCTGCACAGATGTCAGCGTCATGTCGGCCGGTAGCATTGGCAACAGCAGACAGAGTCCTTAAGTTCGACAAGAAGATCGTACGTGAACGCAGCCATCTTTTTGCCAATGTCAACGTCAGAGACCTGCCCCGAGCCGAGGGTTCGCGTCAGGAAAACCTGAAAACGGGGGTCCTTGACCGGAAAATCGGGGCTGAAGACGGTGTTCACCGCTATCTGACACATGCAGTACCGGTCGATCGCCGGCGTCTTCAACTTCCTCAAGTCTCACAGACCTAGCTGAGACCTATTTGGCTATGGCAATCCAAGGCTCGACGCAACTTCAGGCCCAATCATGTCTTACAGTGGAATGCCCAGAGGTCCGAGTGTCGGCTTGTCTGGGCGTGGCCCGCATGGCACGAGCCAGACTTCATCAGCACAGCCGCTGTGCACCTTGCGAGGCAACTGCAGATGCTCGCGACTTGCGCAAACGGCGCACATCCGTGGCACAATCTCTGCCGCGCATGTCAAGTGGGAGTTCGTCGGAGGGTCGAAGGCCTTGGCCACGCAGTGTGAGATCGCCATCAGACGCTTGAAGCATCCGAGGAGGGGCACTCCTCCGTAAATGGCAACTCTCCGCGGTGCAGGAACGGCCTGCAAAAGCGACCCTCACGGATCCGTCACGGCGTACCGCTTAGAGGCTTAGGACATGCGACTCCCCAGACCCCAGGGCCTCTGCCTCTGCATTTGGATAGGCCATGCCTGTCACCCCCTACTTCTCCCGTTAAAACGCAATCCTACTGGAAAGCCAGCGTTTGAGCCAGAATTTGGGTGTGAAGCAAGGCAATCGTGCGGAAGCCTTGCAATGGCGAGCTAGATGTGCCTCCGAAATGGGCGCAAGTCTCGATCGGTCGGGGCGAGCACCCACTTCACCCTCTTTGCGAGCGCAGCGGTGCCTCGACGGTCTCCTTTCGAGCCCCTTTGAAGCTCGAGGAGCGAAGTCATGCTCCGTTGCAGAAAGGGCCGACGGCCTTTCGCCGTGATTGCACATTTCAGGCAGGGCCAGGCCCAGGGCAGGCTCGCATGAATTCGAGTCAGCGCACTTCAGCCAACTCCTGGCAGTCGCGGAGAGTCGCGATTCGCAATATCGCGGAAGCTGCAAGGGCTTCTACTGCCCGTAACCGCCGCTCAGTGCCAGGTGGGGAGGGCCAAGGGTTTGCTGGTCGGGGGCGGAAGTGCAGGCGGCTGATCAACGTGCAGCTTTCGGAAAGGTGTGGCACTTTTTTTCTGGCGGAGTCCCGGTCTGTCTCTGTTCGGGTTGCACGTGGACAGAAACATGTCTTCAGCAGAGCAAGGTGCTACGAGCTTGCCAAATCTCGACCGTTGGGGTGTCCTTCGTCACAACTCTCTGCATTTGACCGGTCCTCAGATGACTCAGATGTGTGGTAACACCTTCGAGGGCAGCTCACGAGACGGACCTTCCCAGTTCGGCCGAGCATCTTTGGGTCCTCCACGAAGAACTCGTGAGCTTCGTCGCCGTCCAAATCTTGCCGGAGGCCGACCATCTCAGCAAAGCTCAAAGTTCAAAGATGAGTGCACGTCAGAGCGGTGCTACGCCCCTACCGCTTCCGATCAATCCTCTGTCGGATCCCGTGTGCATCTCGGCGTCTGACAGGCGCCACTGTCGCCGTCTGCGCTTGCGCATCTGGGTTGTCCTGAGGCCGCCGACAGATCCCCGAAAGTTCAGGCCGCCCACTACTGCGGCGGCCTGCACCACTCGCGAGGTCCGCTGACCTCAGGGAGGCAGCGCGCAGAGCGCAGTGCGCGCATCGCGCAGCCGCGCATCCCCGCATATCGCCGCCCCTAAGCCCTTTAAAGGTTTCCCGGGGCCCCGGACGGCTCGGAGCTCCGCTCGGGGAGGACGCCTGAGAGAGGATCGCGGCACAGACGGACGGAGAAAGGTCGCTTGAGTCGCTTCTTCGCCGTCTCTCTCTTTCCGTCTTCGGCTTCGCCGTCTTCGCGCCTGTGGTCGGGAGGCCGAGGTTGGCGAGGTGGGCGAGGGCGCTGGGGAGCTCGCAGCTCCACTCGCTCCGCCCGCTCCGCTGATCGGCTGAGACTTCGGGGCACCATACCTCAGAACCAAAAAATCCTCTCCAGGGGCGCCCTCTTTCACTTTAAAGGCACCTCGACTATTTTCCCGGGTCGCGCGCTTCTCAGCGCCAGAGGAGGACGCGCAGCCCATGGAGCCCTCGATGCGAGTCGCTCCGTGGGTTGGACTGTTTTGGTAGGCAGGGCGCTCCCTACAAGCAGTGCAGGCCTCGGCGATGGCAGAGCCGGGACCGAGTCTGAGCCAGCAGCGACGGATCCGTGGGCCGTTTAGGTCAGATCTCAGGCGTAGCTCTTCCTTTCTTAACAACAGCGCTCTTTTTTCCCCGCATCCTCTCCCGGGCTTCGGCTTCTCCTCTGGGCAGGGCAACTCACTTCCTCAGACGATGTAGACTGCAGATGACTGCAGACTCATGTGACATTTCGAAACCGGCACCGCCAAGGTAAGGCGCCGACAACTTCTTCTTGGGGCGCAGCTGGTTGGAATGGCCGCACCTTTGCCGCTGCCCGCGCTCTATGGACACCGCGGGAGCTGCACCGGGGCTTCAGCTTCTTCTTGCGGCAGTTCACAGCCCTGGCAGCGCAATGCATTGGTTCTCGCTTCTACGCGCCGACCGTCTGAGGCTGAGGCCTGGCGTGCAAGCGCGCATAGCACTTTCGGCAGATCTGCGGACAAGAAGGCATCTTGACAACTCAAGAGCACAGAGTCATGCTGTGTCACCTGAGCTGCCTGCCATCTTCTCGCAGTTGAACTTTCGCGCCAGAACGGCCAAGGATGGCTCAATGACCTTCGACATGGCGAGGTGTCTTCGTGACTCCCCTTCTGCCCCATTCTGGGCTGGGCCCCCTTGCGCCGCCACGGAGGCGCAGCACCAGGTGCAGAGTCGACTCCTGGCTGCGAAGGCCGTAGCGGCCAAATGTCGGTTTGGCTCCCGCCCGCCTTCTGGATGTTGTAGTCGCTGAGCGTGCGGCCATCCTTGCATGGTTAGCCCCTCAGAGAAAGCAAAGCCTGGGCGTCACTGCGGCCACGCCTCCAGCTGCTTGCCCGCGAAGATCAGGCGCTGCTGGTCGGGTGGGATGCCTTCCTGGGCAGCAGTCGCGCAGTGACAACTATTCAGGCAGGCACTGCAATGTAGCTTCTTAGGGCGTGTCCTTGTCCTGGATCTTGGCCTCACAGAACACGTCATGCCCCAGGAGTACATCGGGTGAATCGAGTCCGGGCCTTCACATTGTCGATGGTGTCAGACGCCTCGACGCGCAGTGTTCATTCCAGCTCGTCCGACGGCAAGCTCCGCAGAAAGCCGTGCCTCGACATCCAGGGTGATGGTCTTCCCCGTCAGCGTCTTGACCTGGAGAGCAAGACTTGACAAACACGAAGATGGGGGGTGAACAGCCTGCTCAAGCTTGGGTCACAACAAAAATCTGCATGGCTCACCAACCACAGCCGGCCCCCTTCAAGCCCTCGTGAGAGAACAGCTGTGAACACCGAAAAGATGCGCAGGACCGTGCTGTGTCTCAATGGAATGCACGAACGATGTGCCCAGGAGCGTATTGGCTCTAATATGCTCTAATCCCTCCAGAAGCATACGCATGCGCGACAGGCTTTTTTTGACTCTGTACGACTGAAGTCGCTCACATGTCCATGAGGTCGTAGGACATGGCGCCCGCTTGGCGTTCTCACAGGGCATGTTGACTCGTGTGAATTTGCTGCACGACTGACAAGTGGATGTTCCTGCAGACATGTCCAGCAGGCTCGTCTTCCGCACGTAGGACTCGCTCGTCACTACCTGTATGCTCACGCCACCGGAAAGAAAAGTCAGCCGCATATTGAATTGTCAGCATGCTGCACACCTCTTGCTCGAAACCGCTGATCCTTGCGCCCAGACAATATCAGATCAAGGCATAATCAAAAAGCAGAATCGAAGCATCGCACCTCTGCGACAGTTCCATGATCTGCCCCAGCTTCCCCTGATGCGCTCAGGAGGAGGCACGACATGCACGAACTGGGAAAGAGGCACTTTGCCATCTGCCTGGAGCGTCTGCATCATGTCCATGTCCAGGTTCTCCGCATCCTCTGCCACGTACGTACTCCGTATGCCGTTCGAGGCTAAGCGCAGCGAAGCGCAGCGAAGCGTAGCGGCGCCCTCTCTCTGGCCCCACCTCGAAGGACACGTTGCCGGTGCGCTGGTCGATCCTGGCCTGGCACGCAGGGCAGTCGCGAGACCTCGTTTCTCTTTTTGCATGGGCCTGGATCTCGTTCTCCGAGATCATGTCGAAGAGGATCGCTTCTGCCTGCGTAGCATGAAGCCTCCGCAGTGCTCAGAGCATGCTCCCAGTGGCCTCGGCATGATCGCCTTGGATGCCAGCCTGTCCAAAGCGCCAAGAACTTGCAAAGCTTGGCTTGGCGGCTTGGCAAGGACAGGCCTCGGCAGCTATTTCTGCCAGCGACAGCGTCAGATACCTGGTACGGTCCGGAGCCAGGGCCCCTAAAACTAGGGGCAGCAGTCCGACCAAAGGCTCACGTCTTGGTTAAAGTTCGGATCTTGTGTCGCCTCATGGAGGAAAGCACCTGGCATTTCTGCCCGCACGGCATCTGTAAGGCTAGCTGAAGACCGCCTGCTTCACCAGGCCCAGATTCTGATCTGCCTGGGCATCCAATCATTCCAAGGTAGCACAAAGAAGGCGCAAGGCTTCCCACCTCGATGGCCGGCTGTTTCTCTTCGACAATCCTGCTGACTGGACAGCTGCAACACCGCTGCCCGGGTTTGCACAGGCACATCCGCACGGATGCCTCTGCAACGCGGCGATGTCTGAAGCCTTGAAGGCCTCAGTCAGCTGAAGCTTTGAATGGGCAGATGTGTCGATGTCGTTTTGCCACCTCTGCAATGTCGAGGACATAGCTCGGGCTTTTTGAATACCTGGCACATGCCAAGATTGCCAAACACAAGGCCAAGCCCCAAACAACGCTGCCTCACAAGGATATGCGAAGTGTAGATGGGCAACAGCTTGACCTCGCCATGCACCTGGCAATGTGCTCTTGTTTGGTCATCTCAACCCCTGTCAAGGATTTCGGCCGCCTGTTTTCCGTCAAGTGCTTGTTTTCCCTAACCGATGGTTTCGCGACCCGCGGATGACAGCCGGCTGTTTTTTCCAGCACGTGTTGCACCGTATATAAGGAGGCCGGTTGCCAGTCTTACATGTTCTATGTACTGAATGTCTCACGAGGACAGGCAATCTCCCTGTCGGTTCTCTCTCTCCTTCTCTTTCCTTCTCCAAGGCTTTGGGGTCGATCGCTCGACCCTCAAGCCATCGGCCCGCCCAACCACCCACCCTCTGTTTTATTGAGTGCTTGGCTTTGGGGTCTCTGATGACTGCTGCGCAGAGTTACTGGGTTTGCGCCGGCTTGAAACCGGGACTTCCTTTGAAAGCTAAACAATGCACCTGCTTCATGGGGTGCCCGATCACTTCTGTCT